AACTCCTAATATTCTGTGATTCTGTAATTTAGAAGCACAGAGTTGGCAATGCCTCTACTGTTAATTATCGCCAAAGAAAATGCCTGTATTATAGTTACCCTCTGAACAGGAAAGCTAGCAGTGGCCCAGCAAGATCCAGTCTTTTGTTGCCATAATGATCTCTGTCATCAAGCTCTCTTCTTCCCAGAGCTGCCAGCAACAATCTATGAACCATATACCTAAGCAAATAAGATAAGTTTGTTTTAAACTGACAGTAGACAGAACAAAGATTACATGCTTTCATAGATAAATCAATGAACTGTTTCCTAAAGACTGTCCATTCTAGATTTTTAGGATACTGAAATACTGAGGTTCGAGAGTATCCAGAACACTGAGAATCCAGAATTCTGAGGTTAAAAACAAATTTTCATTCAGTGTGTTCTTTCAGTCATATGCATATATGCGAACAAAATCTGTATTCGTGGTCCATTTGCAGGTGGGTGACAGAAAATGCTGACATACCCTAGAAAATAGGCCTTTTTGGTTTCACAGAAGTCACTGACACCAACATGTGGAAGCATTTCTTTCTGCAAGACTTCCTTGGCGTACTTGATTCTCTTTTCTTTGGTGACACCTGGCTTTGCACCTCTTGATCCAATGAAGTTCAGAGCAACATTTTGCTCCTGAATGACAAACGCTTCATCCAGAGAAGGTTTGACCTAATGCACAAAATACAGCAAAATCCTGTAGCATCCAGTGCCTGTTGGGGTTGAAGCACACTACGTAACAGTTTGCTGATTATTCTTTTCAGGAAATGCTAATTACTGATCCAGTACTTTCTGGCATTACCATAGCAGCTCTTTCAAGAGCTACTTGTAAAACAGTAATAGAGCACACAGAAAGCACATAAAAATAGTTTAGACTTCAGAAAACAGTTCTCATGTACATTCTAGGCCTGTTGCTGTTTCAGGTATAAATTGGAATTTACAATTAAAGTCAACAGCAGCAGGATAAGACCCTGCCTCTCCAAATGCATATTAACTCTCAAATTTCTATAGTACCCTGTTCATTTAAAGTACTCATTAGAATAGGTTCAGGCAGAGAACTTTTGACTTTTCTAACAGACAACCCACAAAAAAAATAAAGCAATAAATCACCACTGGAAAATTAACAATACTTTGAATGATGATTAGCCACATCTACACATCACCAAATGTTAAGACAGGAAATAACTTTTATATGTGTTACCATTTCCATCATTTCTGGATCTTCAAAATCATAAATGATGTGCTCTAAAATGTCCCTGTCGGACACAAAGCCTAGTGCACGAAAGACAATGATGATGGGGACTTCTTGTTTGATATATGGCAAGGTTGCTACAATGCGCTGACCAATAGCACTCTTCTTTGCACCCTGAAAAAATAGGGAAAAACATTCATTAGTCTTAAATTACCTTGCCTTTAAATAAAAATCTGTCTGGATTTCGATTATACACCATAAGCATACTTATTCAAACACTACAGGAAACTACGACTTCTCAGCAGGCCAACTAAACAGCACTTCCTTCCTCTCACAGATGGCACAATTAAATGTTAAATATGAATTAATATGTGGTCTGCAAAACACATCTAAACACTAGCTTGGTCATCAGCAATTAAAAGGTCCCCACTCCTATTCTTGTCCTTTGTCAAAAAACAGGATGCAGCTTGTTTGGATTTTCTAACAACTCATTTACAGTAATTCTAAAATTATTTTTTATCCTTGCCCTAAAAGCTGCCACAAACTGAGTGTTCATTTCAATCCTCAAATTATTTTTCCCAGAGCCAGGCATAATCTTTGTCAAACAGAATATATTTTCATTTAATTTTACCATCTTTACAACTTACATCAAAAGAAATTTCTTCTCAAAACTCCAAAAATAAATGACATGAAGAGACATGACAGTAACAAAACTCCTAAAACAATCTTTATTGTAAGCCCTAGAGCTGGGGTTGTTACTGCTTAGGCATACCTGCCCACCTCTGGCCAGCATGCTAACCCATATAGTACTCGTTGGTCGAGAGGAATTTTCCAGACAAGATCTGCACTCTCCTGTGTAGGCGTACTTCGAATCTTTCTTTGCAAACACATACACTGTGTTTGTAGCCATTTTCTCTTGAGCAATCAGAACCTGTGTTAGAAACAAGAACATGAGTAAATAAGGGATAAAAGGGCATGCTGAAAGTAACAGGCACAGTGTGTTTCTACTGTTCCTTCAGGTGCCTTAACTTCAAGAGCACTGCACAGCATTAAGTCAGTTTGCCAAATTCAGTTGGATTACACTCTACATTTTAAAAATACACTATTAAGAAAAACATGCACCTAGTTAAGACACAGTAACCAAAAGACTCCGAGAACACTATGATCTGCTAGCTGTGACGAGACATTCCTGTTAGCTCTAGGCACAACACTGATAAAGCAAGCATTTCACTATTTATCTCCAAGGCCAATGCACAACAGACATTTAAATTTGAATGCCAACTCCGACAGTTAAAGCCAGATTTTTTTTTCCAATAAAAATATAACTCTATTTCTTTTGCTGTGTTTGCCCAGATGTCAGTTACAAAAACCTCTCAGTTTCATTAGTGAGGCACAAACATGGTAAAGATTTTATTTGCTAAAGCTAAATCCACACCAGTGGAGGGAAGAACCTATTCTTATCATAAAATGCACCTATGCAGTTGTGAACAAACTGGAGGAGACTCTGAGTGAAGAAGTATCTCATTTTAGACTGCATGCCACTCTGCAATGTTGAAAATGGGAAGGAAAATATCTAAAGTACTTAGTGGCATTCAGTACAAAACAGATTATGGAATTGAAGAAGTGAAATGTGCCTTAGAGAAGAAGAGGTGGCTTAACAGAGGACTAGAAGCCCATCTTTCTACAAGATCACAAGTGCCCACAGTAATTGCGACATACTGGAATAAAGGTGCTTATGCTCCTAGCAAAGCATATAGAAACAAGTAACAGAACTTTCAGTGTCTGTAAAGATGGCTGTGCAAGGTATAATCCTTTACCTTTTCTGATCCGTTAATGATAAAGTAGCCACCAGGATCAAGCGGACACTCGTTCAGTTCACAAAGATCACGGTCAGTTAGGCCATTCAGCAAACAGTATGTTGAACGTAACATAATAGGAATTTTTCCTATAAAGGTTTTCTGATGCTGTGTCTGTAACTGATCCTCCCCTTCCTTAATAACTGTTTTAGTTATATCCACATACAAGGGGGCTGAATACCTACAGAATAAAAACACCATTGTGTTATCTGTCAGTTATTACTCAAGATTATACAGAAGGATAACGACTGCAGTTATTCAAACACTCACTGTTAATATTAACCATTATTACCAAATCATCAATCATCGTCTGAATTTAACAACTAGACATGGAAACTGAAATAGAGCAGTAATGACAACATTTTCAAGGCACTAATAAATTGAGAAAGACTATCAATTAATAATGCAGAGACAGTCCTTCCTTGTGTTTATCCACTACGGAGTTTGTTCTTACGTAAGGTTTCTCAGTCTGGCTTCATTTGGCATCATGGGTGAGGGTGCTCCATCTCTTTCCCAATGCGTAGGTTTGGAGAGGTAGATTTGTTCAAACTTCAACAGATACCGAGGCTGGAAAACAAGAAGAGATTCACCTGTAATGGAAGAAATACCTATTTGGGTTGTTCAAGACGGCCCTAGAGCTTAATACCCAACACTGCTACATGTCCTCAGCTCAAGGTATAGGAAGAATCCCTCTTCAGAAGACTGGATCATAAAAATACGCAAAAACTTTCAATAATTTCTAAACAACTCATTAATTAAAAAAAAAGGAAGAAACTGAAGGGTCAAAACTATTGATAAGAGAAAAATAAATTACCCAAGTAGGTCTTCCAATAAAATAGCTAACAAACTCAAAATCTGCCAAAACGTTAACAAATAGAATATGCCTTACATATGCCTACTTATATAGTTATTTCCCTCTTCAGAAGACTGGATCATAAAAATACGCAAAAACTTTCAATAATTTCTAAACAACTCATTAATTAAAAAAAAAGGAGGAAACTGAAGGGTCAAAACTATTGATAAGAGAAAAATAAATTAACCGAGTTGGTCCTCCGATAAAATAGCGAACAAATTCAAAATCTGCCAAAACATTAACAAATAGAATATGCCTTCTTAGATAGTTATTGTTTATGTAACTTTAGATAAAAATGCTAGTTTTACGATGCAAAAGTGTGAATCTGCTTCAACACATACAATGAGAGAGCTGACAAATCAAACAAGGTGTGAGTTTTTGTAAAGCTTTGCTCCCACGCATAAAATGTTACATTAGAGCTTTGCTTTAGTTCCACAAAACTTCATGTGTTACAGTGAAACCACAGGCATGAAAGGACTGTACAACTCTCAGGATCTTCATTTTGCTCTGAGAGCCACTCGCCCCTCAAAATGCTACTGTAATGAGGTTTACAGCATTCAGTTCACTTAAATCAAAAGCCCTGCATTTAAAATAAATGGCTAACAGTTTTAAAACTATATTCTTAAAGTGTATTTGTCTATCTGGTAGGGGAAGCTAGAACTTAAAAGCAAGCAAGCAGCTACACAAAAATCACTTTGTTCAAGTGTTTTGCATGTCATATGTCAGAGGCAACTTGGCTTTTGGCCTCCTTGCATGCAAAAGGACCTAGAGATGAGCTACTCTACTCACAGAGTTCCTTCACAGACCAAACAGAGAAACACAAGCAAACCATCAGGCCTGCATGTTTACAAGTTGACAGGCTTGTTGCCTTTCCTCAAGTTGCTATTTTCCACCGTGTCCCTCTGCAAAACAGAGGCTAATGCAAATAAAGGCAGTGCTGCCACCCCAACTAAGCACCTGTCTAGAAGCCAGCCATAAAGACTCTGTTGTAGCACGCTACTGAAGCAACATTTACTCTAGTAGAGCAAGCTCCAATGCAGAGGAAGAAAAAGACAGTTAATGGTTTATGTTGCATGTGGTTTTAGCCTTTCTAAAATATATTTTCAAAGTCCTCATATTCAGCCCTTTCCTTGGGCTCAATATTAAAGACAAAGGTGCAAATTATCCATGCCATACATTTTGTCTCACACAGTCACAGCAACTGCCTTTTTAACATCTGTGCGAGGTGGTTTTGTTTCCTTTAGAGATTAAACAGATTATTCCATCAATTTGCCAAAAAACCCACAGCTTTCAGACAAACTTAAGTGTCATATCTGCTCTATCCACAAGATAAATGAATAACTAGACTTCTGTATTCATGATATTCTCTCTCTTAGTTAATACTAACCAAAACTGCTACTGGAGAAGGATAACTGTTACCAATAACTGAAAACACAGCAAGTTCCAACCCAGTTCCTAGGATGACTCCATAGGATCAGTAAACAAAGTAAGACTTGAATTATTGGAAAGGACCTGAAAACAAATTTGATTTTGGAAAGGCACAAAAGCGTCCTACTGTAGTAGGTGGAAGAGCCTTGTTGGCAAACATTTCGAAGGTCAAAAAAAATTCTCTAACCCTAATTCTTACCTAAAGAAACACCTTATTCCTAGGCTTGCAGCAGCAGCCATGTATAGTACCAAGTTTTCCAAGTTCTCATGCAAGCGCTCTGAAGGAGAACACATTTTACCATAACTGCTATCTTTCAGCATGGTTGGTAAACCCTCTGATGAGCTACAAATTGCCTTCAAAATGTGAGGCTGAGAAGTGGTGGGTGAAAGAAACAAAAAGTCAAATTAGACGAATACACCCAGGCTCCTTAAATTAATCCAGTATCTTCACATGAGGCAAGAGCTTCTTCTAAGTGACTGCACTTCCTGAAACTAATGGCATGTTTCTCCAGACAGTGTTTATTTCTACAACTGATAGTGCTTGATGTTTATAGTTACTATTAGGTATGGTATGTAAATATGGCTCTTGCTTATACTTGTGTCTATGGAGACCAAGGCCACTGCCACATCATGGGTGCCATACTGAAGTGTTTTAAGCGAGGTGTTGCAAGAGCTTGCCTGGAAGTGACTCCGAAGGAAAAAGCAAGTTTCCTTTATCTCATCTATAGACCTACTCCTAAAAACTTTAATTTGATAAATAAGAATAAGAAACTAATCTCTGAGAAAGCAAAATACTACATTTTGGGCAAAAATAAGCCAGGCACATACCATGCTTGTGATTTGAACTTTAATTATGTACAGCACATAGTGAGTGATAGCAGGGGAACAAATCACTTATGGAACAGGCATCACAACACATAAGGGACACAGATGAAAGCACCACAGCCACTGTAGAAGCAGCACATTCACTGCAGAAGATCCATCACACAGCACAGACCTTAGACGTCTAATTTCTCCTCTGGCGAACATTGGTGCCAATGGAAGATGATGAGCAACAGCATCCTTTGAAAATCTGAATCTAACTTTGGCCAAAGAAAGCTAACAGGCAACTTTTCAGCCAGATACCTTTCTTGCCATGGTAAAGCTACTGAAAGTCAAAATCTCATCAAAACACTTTTGGTTTGCTTTTGGTTATCTGCCTTGCTCTACTACATCTCTGTCAGTGCAGTTTCATACAGTAACTGAATTATTCTTGGTCATTTCTCAACTAACAATTTATCCAGCAGGAGAGAGTAATTGTAGAAGAGGGAAATTCAAATCCATGAATAACAAAGCTCTTGCAGGTGTTTCTGAGCCATAAACATGTCTGTCTGGAAACTTGGCCATGTACCTCATAGACCTTAAAGAGTTCATACCTCTGTCCTACTGACTGCATGAGCAGTGTCATAACTCAGATGTATTTCCCTCTCTTGAGATGGGAGCTGAATAAAACCCACCTAAAATAATTCTGCATTGTAAAAACACACGACCTCTGCCAGGGTTCTTCACTTACCGGCTCTTCCACTTCTCCTGTGGCATGCTGGGCTTCAGCTTGTAAATCAATTGGTGGAGCATCTTCAACAATTCTCTGCACAGACATCTGAATAAACTCGTCAAAAGAATCCAGCTGTTGCCTGACTAAACCCTTTTCATCAAAATAGGAGCTAAAAAGAAATAAAAGGCATTAATGAACAAGAGATTCTAATTAAATTAATGGACTTCATACATCAACAAGCTTAAGATGTGTTTATTACAAAACCTTCAAAAGCCAAGAAATACACTACAGAATCAAACACATTCACTTTTCCCAAGGCATGAGTTTCAAACATGGATGCTCAAAAAGGCTGAACAATTCTCTCAGTGTTTGAAGGCACAGACACTACAGAGTGACAGATTTGCTGCCACCTCTTGGCTAAGCCATGACTGTACACACAGTCTTCCTTAAATCGGAATGGAAAAATGATTACTGAAACTACAGCAAAACTGGCTTCAGTTGAAGTTTTCAACAATGCATGTAAACTACTTTGCTTTAACTAATTTTCCAAGCTGCAGCAAACTGGTAATTAATTCCACACTACTCCACTCCTTCACAGTTACAAGAAGCTGCAGGTCCTGGATGTTCATGTCTTGCTAGAAAATCACTAACATGGCAAAATACCCAACTACTGACTTCCTAACACCAGTATTAGGTTGATAATAGTGAGCAAAATCATGTGCTTAATATAGAATCAAAATCACTTCTTACTTCATTCAGTTTACCTCACTGGGCTTCTAAATCCCTAATGACAATTCTACTGTTTCTGCTTAAAGCCCTTCTGCTCTGAAATAAAAACAGATAGTGATAGTAAACCCCAGTATTAATAGCAATATTAATATAAAGTACACACCACCATACTCAGCTGATACAGTGGTCACAATGAGTGGTGGAGTAGGCCTCAGGAGAAGAATGACGGCAAGACTCTCCAGGGATGGCAACCATCGAAGAAAGAGGGCAATCACCAGCAAACTCCCCAACTTACAGTGCACGTAACATTTATGGTATGGAATAATTCTGTTGGCCAGGCTGGGTCAGCTGCCCTGGCTTTTGCTCCCCCTGGCACCCTCTCCCTTCTGCACCTGGCTAGCTCAAAACTGCTACAGACCTTATCACTACATACCAGTGCTGGCCTGAAACTATAATACAATGCCTTATTAACTTTGTTTCCACTTAATCAAGTACTATAGTCTTTGCAAAAATGCCACTTTCCTTAAAAGAAAACTGATTATTTTATTTTATCCCAGTGAAACCAGGACAACTAAGAGCACATATCACAGAATCACAGCATGGTAGAGGTTGGAAGGGACCTCTGGAGATCACCCAGTCCAACCCTGCTGCCAGAGCAGGATCACCCAAAAATCACACAGGAACACATGAAGGAAAGTTTTGAATGCTTCCAGAGAAAGAAACTCCACAATCTCTCTGAGCAGCCTGTGCCAGTGCTCTGGTACCCTCACAGTAAAGAAGTTTTTCCTTAGGTTTAGGTTGAACCCCCTGCATTCCAGTTTGTGACCACTGCCCCTTGTCTTGTGGCTCGGCACAACCAGGAAGAGTCTGGTCCCATCCTTCTGACACCCACCCTTCAGATATTGATAAGCATTAATGAGATCTGCCCTCAATCTCCTCCACGCTAAACAGCCCCAGCTCTCAGCCTTTCCTCGTACACTGAGGTGTGAAGAACAGAGATTTAAAAAGTCACCTAATAACGATCCAGCAGGCTTCTTGCCACAAGTCGGGGGTGATTTCATCATCGTCTTCATCATATTGCATATCTGTCGAGAAAGCACGACATTTAGACCATGTTCAAATAACCCCTGGGGTCCCTCCCCGCCTGCTGGGGGTGCAACACGGGGATCTGAGGGACCCTACGGC